TCTCTCTCTCTCTCTCTCTCTCTCTCTCTCTCTCTCTCTCTTCCTCTCTCTCCCGCTCTCTCTTCCTCTACTTACAATTTCAATACATCCCAGAGGCAGGAAACCCCTGTACCGAGGGTAGAGCACTACTTTCCTAAATCCCTTATTTTAAGGAAATGGTTTATGAGTGTACACACACACACACACACACACCCTTCATCTGAATTAAAACTAAGTGCTCCAAAAAATACCAATGAACTAAATTTTCTGATATTTTCCAGTGTTAAGTATTCACTTTCTATCTCTACATAGAAAAAAAAATATAAGACCTGAAATTCAGATTCAGCTCTGTCAGTTACTAGCTGTGTCATTTCTAAAACGTTCATTTGAATTGCGTGGCCTCACCCTATTCGTGTAGAGTCAGGGCTTCATCATCTTTGCTAGCTGGTTTGATGTGTGGAAGTAGTTTGTATATTGCAAAACACATAAATAGTGACTATTGTCCTCTATATCATTATGCATATGCCATAGTTCAATTGGAAAATTGGCATATAAAACACTAGATTTACATATATTTCATTTGCTTTCCAAAGATTGATCCTCATCTAATAAATTCAAGGCAAGACAAGCTGAGCAGAAATATTTCATTTAAAACAACAGAGGATAAGGTGCTCACCCGTCTGCAGCACCACTGCTCTCACCGTCCTGGAGCAAGCAGGCTTGGCCTGAATCACCTCTGTTCCACAGAAGAGGATGTGCCGCTTGTAATCCGCTTCACTCTGCGTTTTCCAGGGTAAAGGGCTATCTGTCTTGGGTAATGGAGTTTTGGTGACTGGGATACTTTCTCCTACAGAAAACAAGCATCTCATTTTGTGGGCTGGGATGCGTTCACTCATGTAAATCAGGCCTGTCCTCACTCATAAACGCCACAGATATTTGTGTGGTAGAAACAACCCTACTGTAAGGGAGACCCAAAATAAATGCAGCTCAGACATATAAACAAATAAATAGAATTTCATACTATAATGTTAGGAGTATCGTGAATCAGCATGGATGCTAAAATAGGTTGAACATAACCCATTAGTGAGTAGGAAACTGGGCACTCTAGAATACAGGACATGAAGAAAATAATGGGGCCTGTGGGCTATGTAGGAAGTGAGACATGGAGAATCTTAAGGGTAACACAGGTAAGTATTTGAACTATTTTCTGTAGGCACTGGCAACTGGAGGAGGATGGCAAGGTATTTAAGTGCTTTAGTCAGAGGATTATCATCACATTATGTATAAGAGAAAATACTCTGTGCGTAGTACATGGGTTAAGTTAAAGTCTAGTGAGGTCGGAGGCTGAACATCCAGCTGGGAAAGGACCACAAGAGCTCAGGCAGAAGGAGATGAGTTTTGAAGACGGGAGTAGAGAGGACTTAATGGAGTCAAAACAGCAAGGAAGGAAGACGCTACGAAACTTGAGGGAATTTTTTATGTTGGCAGCTCATAGGGACAGAAGAATTTAAAACAGCTTCCTGGTTCCTGGCTCGGGAGGTGGAGCTGACAGAAACATTATTCATCAAAGCAGTGGTTACAGGAGGAGAGGAGAGGAAGAACCACCTTTGGCCGCTAGGAGTTGGAACTGCTTTATAGAATAGCACTGTTGAGATACCGTGTGGGCACTCAGATATTCTTTGGAGTCTGAAGCTCAGATGAGAAGTCTTGACTAAAAACAATGAATCCAAGCTCACCAGAAAGTGAGTGTAGCCTGAGAAGAGAAAAGGACATGAAGGTAGCTCTGAGCAACACCAAAATTATGGAGACAGAGGAAAAGCATCAGCAGAAGAAAGTGAGCCACAGTGGTCAATGGAGGAAGAATCTGGAGAGATAGCACCGTCCTAGAGAGTTAGGGAGAAGAGAGTTTTCAGAAGGAAAAGGAAAAGGAGGGAAAGATGGTCTAGATAACCAAATGCAACAGAGAAGTCAACACGATGGGAAATATTTTAAATCCACAGGATTGGGCACTGGGGATATTAGGGACTTGTACCCATGTGGGATGAGAAGACTGTATTTCAGTGGTATCAAGTGCAAATACAGGAGAAGGGATGAAGGTATACATGTAACTATGACCTGCTCTGTGGGACGAGTTTGTCAAACCATCTGTCAGGCTTTGTAGAGCGAGCAGTATAAAGTCAAAGTTACACTTTGGTATGCAATGGTTACTTTCATTAAGAAAATAGTACTTGCCATTGCAAAGGTCCTAGAATTAAGGGGTGGTTTCTTGAGGAAAAAGAGCCTGACCTCCCATGATCTGCCATGCACTTTATCTGCAAGTTCAAACAGGAGGGAGATGTGTGTCCTCATCTGCATTTTACCCCTTTCTGGTCTAGCTGAGAGAAATGGATTAGATGCTGACTTTAATAGGAACCACACGATACCAATGTACTTTCATTGACTGCCATTTCTTCTCTGCAAAAATTATGATTCTTCTTTATTTTTCAGAAAGGTTGCTACAATGTCTCGTCATGCCGCACAAGTGAGAAATCAAAGCAGTGCAGGCTTCTCTCTCTACCTCAGTGGCTGAGCGTATGAGGGGAGGCAGCTCAGCTCTGAGGTCCCTCCCAGCTCAGCATGCTATTTAAACATGCGGTACAATGAATGGGGCCAGAATACCCAGTACGCATCTTCAAAGCAGCAAATTTTACAAATGCTTCATCATGAGCTTTTCAGCACTTTTAAGTCAGACCAGGATGAGCTTGGACTTGATCCTGTGGGTCTCAGGGTGTCACTGATAGTTTTCAGACCCACCAAGTTCATCTGAAGGTACACTGTACATTGAAATACCAGATAGAAATGCCGTAGACAATTTTGCAATATCTAATGAGCAATGCAATTTGTAAGGGAAAGGGAAAGGCCTCAAAGGATCATTTGTTCACAAAACACGAGAAAAACTATGATTGTAGTGAAATTAGCACAGAAACAACAGCTTTAATTTGATCTCTCGGATCATCCATAGCAGGATGAATGGCATTTATGGTAGTAGGAAGGTCACAAAGCAGCCCCGCACTTTGCAACAAGCCACTGTGAGTGAGGTAGAGGACGAGCTGGGACCATGTGGCACAGACTCTGGGACAGCCCCCAGAGACTGCAAGCTGTGGAGAGAGAACCATACCTGTCAGCATGCCTTCATCTACCACACAGCTGCCATCAATCAGAATGGCATCACATGGCATTTGCATTTTGTTCCCTGTCAATATTAACAAATCTCCAGGTACCAAGAAACGCGACTCCACCTCTTGGACTCCAGCTGAAAATGTGAGGATACAGAGTTGAGTCAGATGATTGTCCCCCCAAAACCACAGTCTAACATCTCTCCAAGATGGAGATCCATGGAAAGCAACCAAGGCATCTAAATGAAGGAAGCTATAGCTCAACACTGATTAAAAATCTGAAGACTAAGAGAAAAAAGCAAGCAACTACATAAATTAAAAAATGTATGAGGCAAAAACAAGCTAAGAAAAAATGGACAAATTCAGAAAACATTTGAAACCTACAGACAAAAGATTAATGTTCTTAACATAGAAAGAGTTCCTTAAAAAAAGATGAGTAGCAATGAACTATATAACAAACTGCCAGAGACAAACAGTTCACACACATATACACAAAAATAGCCTCTAAATGTCTGAAAAGCGGCCCATTTTTGCCCATAGTAAGAAAAGAGACATTTCTTCCACCCTTCCTTCTTTCTTTCCTACTTGATTTCTGCCTGGATGTCATTACAATTTTCCTCTCTTATTCAGTCCCAAAGCTACTAGGGTACTGAGCAGGCTAGGCATCAGAGGACAGGGCAGGGCAAAGGGCCAGGCTGCAGAGGGGTGTTCCAAGCCTAAGTAGGAGGGAAGGTGTTTACATGGCCTTGGCTTTGACAGAGCAGAGCCTGTGTGCAGGGAGAAGGCCCTTTCAGCATCTCTGGCCAGGTGGGAGATGTTGGACTCTCAGCTCTGTGAAAAATGTGTCTACATGGGAGTGAGGCGGAAGTAACGTGAGCATCAGCCACGCTGGAAGATTGGTCACATCCAGGCAGGACTGACCCAGTAATGAGCTCTATTGGGGCTAATGAGAACCGGGTTTCTCACTAAAGCAAAGAAGTTACAAATGCAGAAAACAAACTAAACTAAAATTGCGGTTTACAATTGGAGATACCAGTGTAGTAGACAGAGAAATAATGTAGATGTCAATACGCAAGGATATAAGAATATATGCAGAGATAAACATGCATGCGCTTGCTGGACCATTTGTTTATATGAATATTCTCTAATTCTTCTCTCAGAGAGGGCAGAAAAGCAGTGCAACGCCAAAGCTAATGAGCACACCTGGGGGCCAAATTTTGGCTTCTAAATTCCATTCTCCCCCCAAAAGAATGAAGTTTCCTGAGGAAGTGGCTGACTATGAAACTGTGCCATAGATAGTATACAAGTGGGAACATCGTGTTGTAAGATTACGTCAGGATATGTTCAAAGAACAATAGTGACACATCAAAAAGATATCAAAGTCAACTTAAAGGGCCCTTGCTGCCTAAACCTGTAGCAATGCTAATGTTACAGTAAATAATGATAAAAAGAACAATAGCCATGGAATAAAATAGAAATTCACAAATCCCTAATGACATAAATAAATGGATAAGTAAATAAGAAGGAAAGGTAGTGATTCCTTGCAGCAAAAAGGTAATTAAAAATTAAGAGGATAACTGTGGAAATCAGTTTGGAGATTCCTCTGAAAACTAGGTTTAGAGGTCCCATTCAACCCAGCTATCCCCCTGCTGGGTATTTTCCCAGAAGATCTAAAAACATCATATCACAGTGATATATGTGCACCTATGTTCATAGCAGCACAATTTGTAATTGCTAAAATGTGGAAGCAACCCAAATGTCCATCCACCGAGAATTGGATAAGAAAATTGTGGTACTTTTATATAATGGAATATTACTCAGCTATAAAGAAAGATAAACTCGAGGCCTTTATATTTAAATGGTCACAACTAGAGACCATACTCATAAGTGAAATAAATCAAACATACATGTGCAAGCACTGCATTGTGTCACTAGTGTAAAACTTGAAAGAGTTAATTTAAACTCGGAGGTATGATAGACACTGTGAAATGATAGGAAACCACTGAAGAGTAAAGGGCTTCTGGGATGTGGGAAAAGAGAAGGGAAAGAAGGAGAAATTTTTTATGTATGTATATACAGGATAGTTAACATGGTTGTTCTTCTGTCTTCTATTTCTATGCTGAAAGAAACTGTCAATGAGTCTTTGGTTGACCAGTATTGCATGTCTATATCTGTTTTCATGAGAAGCCACTTTGAAGATATCAATATGTAATACAACCATCATTGTTAATTCCCTACTACTTTGTTTGTAACTCTGTATTGTCTGTATTGTGCTTGTGATATGTTGTAAAATGTTGTATGTCTGTTAATGTTTCCCTCCTTTTATCTTTAAAATAAAAAAAGGAAAAAAAATTAAGAGGATAAAATGAGAAAATCATTATTTGACAAGTATCAAACTAATGATTTACTTAAGAAACATCAATGTATACTGAAACTGCTGGGTGAAAATGTGATGAAGATAGTCTGTTGTGTGGTATCCCTTAACAAAATAACAAAGGGGAAGAGAGAAAAATTACAAAGAAGAACCCTTGCAGACACAATATAATGAAGAAATTGACAAGCTAACATCACCAGTAATAGAACAAATTTATGTTGTGTGCCAGCGGAGAGAAGCAGTAAAAATATGACATCATGATATCACGTCTGTTTAAATGTGAGCTTAACTATGAGAAAAAATCGAATAAATACAAATTGAGGGACATTCTACAAACAACTGGATTTAAAGGAATCCAGGTCATGGACCTCAAGAGAAGATAGGAGAAAAAAATATTAAAGAAACATGAAAAGCAACCACACTGAGTGATCCTGGATCCCTTTCCTGCAAAGAACATTACGAGACATGAGGAAGATGTGACTATTATTTAGGGCTAAGATGTCAATATTAACTTCCTGTTTGCCCTGTCACTTACATTGGAGAAGATCTAGTCCTTAAGAAATACACAAATTAGCCACACTTGGTGGCACATGCCTGTAATCCCAGCACTCAGGAGGCTGAGGCAGGAGGATCCTTATGAGTTTGAGACCAGCCTGGGCTGCAAAGTGAGCTCAAGGCCAGCCTGAACAGCACAGTGAGACCCTGTCTCAAAAAGACAAAAATAAAAGGAAAGAAATACACAAACTATGTAGGGGTCATCGAGACACCGGTCAGAAATTTATTCTTAAACAGTTCTGGCAAAAAGTTATTTGAACCATTATTACAACTTTGTTTTAACTTATAAATTATTTCCTGAGAGAGAAGAGAAGAATACATAAGGTAACATGGCTCACCTGATTAGAAAAATCTGTCTGCCAGCCTATTCTGTTAGCAAGGCTGTGAAGAAACTGACACTCACACATTCCCTGTGCAAATGCAAACTGGTATAATCTCTCTGGAAAGGAATTTGGCAATATTTATCTAGCAAAAGAACAGATGCATTTATTCTTTAACCTTGCAGTTTTACTTCTCAAAATCTATACCAGAGATATACTGGCAGAAACATGACAGACATATGGATAAGCTTTTCTTTTTTTACAGCACTACTCGTAAAAGATTGACAAAACTTTCTTCAAAAGAAAAGCAATTGAATAAAGGATGGTTCCTTCACCTAAGAGAATACTATGCAGCTGAAATAATGAATGATTAGCTATACACTGCTATTAAAGGGCCACTGAAAACATTTCTATCTATCTAAAGTATATACAACAGTAAATATGATTAAACATATTTGGATAACCTTTTTATCTAAAACAACTACAGTATAAATATATATTATTCTGTATATATAATTTATAGCTATTATTTTCATATGAAACTTGTTTATATTTTTATAAAACTATTTTTATTAGTCCATGTTTGTAATAGACAATGTTTACATTCCTTATGTGGAGTTTATACATGTGCATAGCACATCTTAATTCCTTTGTTGTCTCTTTTCCCTCCCCCTCTCCCTTCATCTGTTCATCCCTTTACCATTTGAGGAATATCTATCTCCCTACTTTCCATTATCTCTCTTTTATTTTGGTCTTTTATTTATATTTTGGATTTCTCATGTAAGTGAGGCCATGAGATATTTAGGCTATATGTCTGATTTATTACCCTTAACATTATGATCTCTAGGTGCATTCTCTTTCCTATAAATGACTGGTTTATTTTTAAAAGTAAGAATACATCAATAATAAAGCAAAGAGATAATTACAGAGAGAATGAGAATATAAGACAGAAAAGGAGCCGGGCGTGGTGGTGCACGCCTGTAATCTCAGCACTCAAGAGGCTGAGGCAGGAGGATAGCTGTGAGTTCAAGACCAGCCTGGGCTACAAAGTGAGTTCAAGACCAGCCTGAACGGCACTGGGAGATCCTGTCTCAAAAAGACAAAAAAAAAAAAAGTTACAGAAAAGGGAGGAACAGGGGCTAGATTCCCCTGACTATCTTCTTCCTTATGGATTTGATTTTCATGTCATGAAGATATTTACCATAGTAGCTATATGAATGAATAAAATAATTTGAATGGCTAATATTAAAATCTAAAGCAAAATGAGTGCAATGAACCAAGCAAGTTGTTGGTGTGACCATATGGAGAACTATTTTGAGTGACTTTAAAGCATAATTTCATAATAATTTGTACATTTCTAATGAGATAATCATAAATGGGGGAAGAACTCTAAAAACATTTCAAGTGGTTTAGGAATGATACTGATTCCTGTCTGTGTTAGTTTGTTATTCTGAGATTATGGTTTATCGTGAGATAAAGCAAATGAGAAATTTGTTCCTGTCATTGGAATTGAACGTTTTAGTAGAAAGAAAAGCAGAGATGCACTCAGAAAAGTTAAATTAAAAGTCTGCAGTTCTAAATCTGAATTGAAAATATCATCCGGCATAATATATTTTATCAGTGTGCCTTCTGAAAAAGCCTAGAAACAGTGGTGACCACCATAAAATTTTGTACTCTGAATGCTCAGATTAAAGTTTCTAAGTATCATATTTATAGGCATTTTGGAAAACTGAATTGTCTAGCTTTGGGGCATGAATTATTCAAATATATGTTCAATAAAACTCTCAATAGCTATTAGGGCCATGTCAAAAGAACTCTGGAGCTAACCAGAAGAGGCTCTCTCCAGCAAAAGATGAGACAATTTGAGTGAAAAATTGAAATAAAAGTGGCAATAGATTAATGTATTAACCAAGTCCAACATTGTGACATTAAGAAAAAGCCTTTGAAGGTGTTAATCAGCTTATTATTTTGAAAGGTGGTAAATAAAAAGAAAGAATCAGATATCTGTCTTTTCTTTCTTAAACTGAAGAGCTGAGGAGAAGTGTTTTTCTTACAGAAATATTCCACTTAATATGTGAAAATGGTATGATAGTAGTAGAAAAGAGTAACTCCCACTAAAATAATAAATCTAAGTCAGGAGCACTTATGTACAACAATATCACAAAAAGGAGAGTATTAGACATTATGCATATCTTGTACACAATACAAACCATGGAGAATTCTCGCCAAACCTCCAAACCTTTAGATCTAGCTACTAATACACAGGAAGTATAAGGAATTAACAAATGTGTCAAAAACCTCCATAAGTATGTAATCAATATATGTAGAATGTGAAAACCGCAGGACAAACCACTTCTTTTCTTCAACAAGAAATGCCAAGGAGAAAAAAATAAAATATACAGAGGAAGGGGCTCGTGGATTGGAATACACTTGAAACACGATCATAAGTTATGGAAATCCTGATTTGGAATTAAACTGTATGTACCTCTCACACTTCCAATTGTTTCAATATACACAGAATAACCTCTTTGGAAAACAGTCTGCAGCTCCTTACGCATTGAACATCTACCCCATACCCACCCATTTCTCAGGTATTTTCTAAAAAAAATGCATTTCCATAGAAAGACCTGTACTCAAGTAGACATAGCTGCTGTATTTATAGTAGACAAAAACTAGAAACAACCCTAATATCTGTCAACAGATAAATGAATAAACAAACTGGCATATCCATACCTCAGGATACTTTCAGGAATAAAAAGTTATGAACTATTAATACATTTAACAAAATGAATGAATCACAAAATCACTATGACTTTGATCTCCCCAAAATATACAGCAAAAGACAAAAATACACAGTATGAAGTATCATTTTTGTGCAGTGGTAGACACTAAAGTTCACCTACAGTCTATAGATTATTAACAGAAAGCAGAGGACTGCCTGAGTATGGGGCAGGTGACAAGAGGAGGGCAGATTATAGACAGGCACAAGACAATTGGGGGATAATAAATAATTATTATCTTGGTAGTGGTGAGGGTTTTATGGGTGTCTGTCAAAGCAGTATCAAATTGTACACTTATAAATGTGTTCAGTTCATTATGTGTTAAAAAAATTAAAAAATAAAAATAAATTTTAAAAAATAGGGGCTGGAGCTTTAGCTCAGCAGCATAGCGCCTGCCTGGCAAGCACAAGGTAGTGAGTTCGATTCCTGATACCGGAAAAAAAATTTTTAAAAAAATTATATGTTAATTCCACCTTAGTAAAGATTTTTTTCCTTAAAGTGACAAGATCTCAAGTTCTTCCTCTCTATAAACAAATGTACAAGAAAGATGCAAATACAGATAGAGTAGCAGGAACACCAGAAACTAAAAACACAAATTCAAGGCATTTTCTGATTCTATATGGATAAAACACAAATCTAAAATAAAGAAACTTACATTTTCTCCCACATACAGAGACTGTAATGCTGTTATGTGCTTCAACTAGACCATGGAGTTTTACAGATTGCTGAAAAAGAAGGGAACACAGAAAATGTTTATTTGTTTGAGTACACAGTCCCAGGAATTACTAGGTAAGGTTGTGGCCTTCTGTAAAGATGAAGCACTGTCTTATTGCCAGATGAATGTAGTGGTCAAAAACTAAGGCTGAGTAGTCTAGCCCTCAACTGAAAAGGTTTTTCTCCAGTATTAACAAGTATGTGTTCTTTAGCAGAAAGGAATTTCCCAGCATGCTTTTTCCATTCAAAATGGCTTTTGAAAACCACAAATCTGTGTGCAATTCTTTAATTAGGTAGATAACATCAAGAACATTTAACATTTGTTCATACTTAAACAGCTTGAAGAACAAAGCATTATTTCTGTTTGGCCTCTTCTGTACCAGGGTTCCCAGTCTATAACTTTTTAAGGAATTGGTTGTTCTCATGATTTGCTTGTAGCATTTTTGGCTCTATTATATACAATACATGGACCACTGCAAGTGAGTTAATAAGCAAAGATAAAAGAAATATATAATAAAACTGCATTTGATTTCACATTTATGAAAAAGCTAGTATGTCAATGACCTTCTATCAGGTTCTGAGGGTTAACATTCTCATTTAATGTGTTCATTTGTTTATTTCTGATTTTTGTCATTTAAGGCAGTCTGTAAATCTCCTGGTTTCAAATTATTCACAAATCTAATAAATAATGTCCTAAGAATGATTAACAGAACTGGGTGTGAGCTGACTGACTCACAGGAGATGCAGTAATGTTAGCTTGAACCACAGCAGTGTTAGGGTGGGAAAAAGTAAATGATAACAAGATATAGTTAGGAGGAGCAATCTTTAGAAATTGTTGCATGACTAAGTACAAGGAAAAGAAAATTTCAAGGATGACAACCTGATTTCCAGCTTGAACAGATGAATGACCAATGGTGATTTTTACCAAATCACATAAACCTAAAGAGAGGTAGGAGGAATTCTTAAGGTCTGTGTTGAATGTGTTACATTTAAGGTAATGTTTGGAAACAAAGGTAGAGGATATCAAATAGGTTGTTCTGGATCTCACAAGTGATTGTATATAAAATTTTATGTAAAATTAATTATATGTACATATAAGTAGCATATGCTTTATTGTTTTGCTTTCACTTAGAATTTATTCTAAAATCATGATAATTGCATCAACAGCCTCAGCTGAAATGCTACAGCACACTTTTTATAGCAATTACACAGGTTTCCAAAGAAGTCAAGTGTCTTGATTACCTTTCTCTCATTGCTGAGACAAAATACTCCACATTCAAAACTAAGGGAGGAAAGTTCTGTTTAGCTCACACTTTGTGGAGGTTTCAGTCCATAATCAGCTGGCTCCAAGGCAGGGTGGTGTGACACAGGGTCAACACTTCAAGGTAGCAAAAGACAGCAAAAGCAACCAGAGCAAAAGGGGGAAGAGCAAGCCTCTTTTCCTCCCTTATATTGTAAGCAGGCTACCCACTCCTTCAGGTGGGTGTAGCACTCACACCATCTCCGTGCCCTCCTTTTGCACAGGATAAGCACGCTTACATAGGAGGCTCCTGGCCCCCGCCTGAGTTGCCTAGTCAAGCAGCTCAACTCAAGTTGACACAATGTATCAACCATTGCATCATTTCTAAATATTAAATGTGCAAATATGTGATCTGTGGTTCTCTCTAAGGTTGAAGTGGTGTAACTGACAAATTTGAGTTAGGTTTCTTTGTGGCCTCATGGATTCTGAAGTAAAATTTTATTAATTAAAATAGATTTTTTAACTTTTCAAACAATAGGCTTCATGGTTGCAGTGATAACGTTAACAAGAGTTGTTTACATGGAATCATGAGAGGAAACCAGGTCAGCAGGTGAAAAGGGAGAGGAAGAGAAAAAATAATGCGAATGGACATAAAGACATGAGAAGTCCTGCAGGAAAGGAAGAAGAGGGCTCTTGTAGCGGCTGAAGGAGGAAATGTGTCAAGAGAAAGGATTGCCTTGTTGAACTTTTTTTTTAGTTTGGAAGATGCTTGCGAATGGTAGCCTTGTTGAATAATCTCTTGGGAAGAGAGAGAAAGAAGTCATTTGCAGACTGTATAATGCTCTCCCCAGGAAGACAGGGAGGATGGTATCTCAGGCCTGGACAGAGGGACCTCATCCACTGAATGAGAAGACAGGCCTGGCATGGACTGGAGTGTAGGGTCATTGGCAATTGGAAAGCGGGAGTTGAACGAACTCCTGTTTTATGGCTTATACTATTTTTATGAAATAAGTGGTTAGATTATTTGCTAAATTGTTTTGTTTTAGTTTGATTCGGGTTTTTTTTTTTTTTAGTGGGACAAGGTCTTACTATGTAGTTCACGCTGGACTTGAACTCACTTATGTAGCACAGGCTGGCCTCGAACTCACAGTGCTCCTCCTACTTCAGCCTCCTGAGCGCTGGGGTTACAGGCATGAACCACTATGCCCGGCTTATGTGTTAAATTGGAGGAAAGTGGAATATAGAAAGATGGGCTTTTCAGAAACCGGAAGAAAGGCATTGTTTGAAACCTTCATCTCAGGGAACGGGCAAGCAGTTTGATCAGAGATGTATAACACGCTTCTCAGGGGAAGCTGGCCTTCATAGATTTCATCACCCAGCTTGTTCCCTGTGATTTTCTTCCAGGATCCCCTAGATGCCCCCGTGCAGGTATGAATGCAGATCTGACAAGGGAGTATCAACCAAACACAAGAGGCAAAGGAGTGCATCTTAAACAGGGATTCCTCCACCTTCCACCAGGGACAAAAGTACCCTGAAAGACACAGGTTTGGCATGTGATGGAAGGAGAAAAACTAACTTGCTGAGCACTGACTATTGTGTTAGAGAATTACAAACATGGTTTTATTTTAACACGTACTGGACAATGACAATATCATAATTCTCCTTTCTAAGAGGATTTGAATGAAGTCACTAGTGGTCTCTCTCTGAGACCATGTCATTAGTGAGGCAACTCACCTGCCTGAGGTCATACACTGTCAGAGATATAGAGATGACGGACATAAGTATGATGGCCAGAGCGTATTCCTTGTAGTCCTCACTAAACCATAAACAGACACTGAAGAGTTGAAATATGTAAAAGGGATTTAGAACCTGTTGGCAGACACAAAAATAGGAACACAAGGGAGATATTTAGGCATCACACATAACTATTCATTGGCTTGTTTCCGTAACCATCTCTGTGAGGTAAATCATTCCACCTAAAATGCTATTCCAGCCATTATTCTGTTTACTCAGCAACTGCCAGGTACCAGACACTGCACTAAGCAATGTTACCTGCATTTGCTCACTTCATCCCCATAATTACCTCAGTAACCAGAAGTTATTTCTTATCTCCGTTGCAAAGATGAAGAAACTGAGCCTTAGCTCTTAAGAAGCTGGCCTGACGTCATGCACCTGTAACTGTCACAGAGCCAAGGCTCAAAGCCAGGCAATCTGACCCTAGAGCAGTTGCTTTTAATCATGGTTGCACTTTACAACTGACAAAGCAGCACCTGCATTTCAACCTCTTGACCACCATTGTGTAAGGAGCCTATTATCTCCCATTTACAATTACCTGACTTCAGAAAGGTGAAGAGTTAGTTCAGGTTTACAAACTTAAAATGCTTTACAGACTTAAAATACTTTCTAGCCTATTACTTCTCCTTAGGACAAAAGAGCTAGTACTTGTGAAGCCATTGGTAAACTTCATATTAATGTCTGAGTTGACATTTTCTCACAGAGAACTGAGACGAAAGTGGCAAGTGGCAATTGAGAGTAGATTCCAACAACTGCATTCCTGCTTTGATGAGATGCATTGTGCGCCCTCACCCAAATTCCCCCTATTAAAACAGGAGTGGTTATTCTTGCCTCTGGTTATGAAAAACTTGTGAGGAAACTTTCCCTATCAGTGTGTTTTGCTTTTCTTCTTAACCCTTGAGAGTTTCTCAGAAATGTTGAGAAAGTACCTTGAATTTAGTAAGCTGTTTTATTTTTCAAGACAAGGAGGTATGGAGGTGTACAGTGTACTGTTATACGGTTATAGTCTGAAAAGTAAGATGAGACTGCCCAAGAGGAAAAATTTAACTTAGCAAATAATGGTGAAGTCTTTCCCACACGTACACTGAGATCAGTAGCACTTAATAAGGTTGGACTGATGGTTCTTTTTTTCCCTATGGTTTTGGATCTTGAAGAAATTGTATATGTTGCCTTAAGGAAAGATTGGCTTTCTAAAAAAAGAAAGAGAAAGGAAAACATAGGAAGAAAAGAAAAGAAAGGGAAAGGAAAGAAAAGAAATGACTATATTAGTTTCAAAGCTGGCATGGGCTAAGCAGCACAGTATTAAAGAAGAAAAGAAACATTGCCTTCATCCAGCCATCAAATGTAGGTACGCACATGAGCATCATACTCTGTACTATATCTGATGGTGTACAAGAGAGAAACTTGAAGACAAAGAGTAAAGGAGAAAGATAAAGAGCAATATGCCTGCCATGCTTTTAAAATATCTCCCATGTACAGTTACTTCTTCAGGAGGTTGTATTATTCATTGTTTGGTTAGAACTCCACTTCTTTATTTCCCATCCACCACCAAGAGAAGAACCTGGAGAAATTACCTCCTTGCTGAGCAGCTTCCAAATAGGTGTGATTTCAACATCGATAGTATTAGGCCCACATATTAGCCTCCTACCGGGAAAGATCACAGTCACTAATCAGGAAAATGAACTCATTTCCTGCCCATTCAGAAAAAGGTCTGCCGCACGCTCATCTTTCTCACTTCTGGAAAAATCTCCTTTGTTATATAACATTCCGAGCCTTCTCAGAGCAACTGGGTTGTTCCGTTAGTTAATGCTTCCCTGGATCTAAATATTTTCCTAAATGATAACTTGAATAATTAATATTACTCTTGTCTTATTCAAGTAGTGCCAGAATTGGTAGATTCTAAATTTTGTCTCCAACTCCAGTTCCATGGAAGTAGATTAGTGAAATCGTTAAAAGGGAATAGTTTTACAGATAAGCAAATATTATACCTATTTTTCCCTGTTCAGACGTTTTGGGAAGCTGCATAATTTGTTCTAATGTGAGTGGAAAGGTCCTGGGATCTCCAAAATGGGTCAATATGCAGAATCATACATCCCTCTAATTGAAGACCCGGATATGTGCTCCTTTGATCCTGTGGAGGTGTGGCACTTTACAAGTTATTTTGCTGTCTAGAACACAGACCACTCTCTCTGCGCCTTTCACATAGACAGATCAAATAGCTTTGCTGAATGTGTTAGAGAAGGGCTCCTCATACTTTAATTTAAATGAAATGGCCTCATTAAGATGGAGATTCTGGCTCAGTAGGGTCAGATCCTCCAGACCCAAGATCCTGCTTTTCTTTCTGATGAATTCCATGTGACGCTGATGTTGCTTGACTCTAGATCTCTTTGGAGTGCTAGAATGGGGAAAGGGAAGAGCTAGAAACTTAAGCCCAGTGAGGTCTTTTAAAGGTCCTTCTTCCCCCTTTTTCAAACCAGGTAACTAAGGCTCAGAGCAGAGACCACATTTACTGAAAACCACACAAACTCTTGACATTCCAGTGCCCTCCCTGAACCTCTCTCTCTGACATAGCAATTGACTTGGAGCTATAGAGCTACTTTCACCTTGTGTGGCACTGTTCAGATGTTCTGTTATGTCTCCTTAACTGTGCTGTCACACTAATCTGTGTATTTCCTGATTAGAATCAAAACAGGCTCAGACCTATTATTATAATAACCTTGTAGAGGAAGAGCATTAAACCTACAGTCCTAAGTTGGGGGCTCAGTTCTTCCTCTGTCCCTTTCAGTGTGACTTTGTTCAGGCCATTAAACCTCTCTGAGCCTCAAATTTTGCACCTGTTACATTGAGATGGTCACGATGTCTTTTCTACCTCCCGCACCAGGTGGCTCTGAAGATATGTGAGATAATGGGTGTGAACACATTTAATAATGCCAGCTACAACACTACAACACTTTTGATATCGATCAACTAAGGTAACTACTCACTGGGCTTGATATTTGGGTAGCTGATAATAATTCTTTCAGGCTCATATAGATAACAGTATGCACAGTACCTAATCTCTTGTTCTTCTCTTGTTAGACCTGATCCAAATTTTAGATGTATCTTGGCAGAGCTGAGCCAGTCTTCCAGAGAGCTAAAATAATGAGAAAGATGCATTTAACAATGATAGTTTTGAGTTAACATTCTTTTCTTTAAATGCACTTTCTAAAACAACTTACCCAATTTTTTGAAACCGCCCTTCTAAATTATTCCAAACATATCTTATTTTCTGCACTTTTATGCATCTCACCTGCAAAAAGAAAAATACTAAGAAAATCTCTAATTTGAAGATTGGAGATTATATAGCCACTAAGTGATCAGAGAAGCATTTGTGAAAGAGGCAAAGGTAGAATCCTAAATACTTATCCAGTAGGCAATGTGTCCATTATTGTTGCTCTCCTATTAGCCTGATCTGAATCTCTGTTTTATTTTATTTCTATTTTCTTCTTCTTCTCTTTAAAATTAAAGATTTTATCTTTTCCTCCTCTATCCTGTTCTTTCTTACTACACAAGTGGCATCTTTATTAGAAATCATCATTCAGTCAACATGTGTCATGGGTTTAAAACCTAGATAAATATATGAATAAGTGAAATTTAGTCTCTGTATCACACTATCTTATAACCTAATAAAAAAAGAAAATATATTTCAAAACAGAAATTTTGGCCATACAGTCCAATATGTACATATCAAACAAATAAAAATGTAACAAAGTAAAAAAACATAATCATAAAATTCTGTACAAACATAAGGAGGGCAGATGTCAAAAGGAGTTATGGAAGAGACCACACCTGAAACTGCAGCAGTGAAGGGTTGCAAGACTTCTCTCAGATATGGAGGGAAGAGAGTATTTCAGAGAAGCTCTGGACAAAGTAGTAGAAGGAGAGGAATCAAGAGGGTAGGGCTGTTTGACTGCAGAGTGAGTAGTTAAGCTGGAAATACAAATGAAAGCTAGCTTATGAAAAAAAAAGTGTAAAAGCCAGGGATATAGCTCAGCAGCACAGTGCCTGCCTGGCAAGCATGAGGTCCTGAGCTCAATTGCTGGTACCAAAAAAAAATTTAGATTACAAGCAGACATAAGTGCTAGCATAAGGTCTTTGGGACCTTATCTCACAGGCAATAGACCTGTGTAGTAACCTACAAAAGGAACTCTGATAAGGATTAAGCTTGTAGCTACTAAGGAAGAGAGAAGGTTAAGCGCAAGAAAATGTGCTCCAGGAAGTGAGATTTCTGAAAGGGCTGTCAGTGGAAAGAAAGGGAAGGATTAACCCTTATGGCAGTTGTGCCTTCTTACTTTTGCTTTCTTTAAGCAACTTTATGCGTGAATCTGAATTTCTAGGAACTGGTGACCTCACAAAACTCTGAGAGAAACAGTGACCCTTCCACGTGGCTATGGAGCAATGGTTAGAGCCTCGGATTCCTCACTAGGAGCATCTGGGGAGCTTTAAAAGATGTGGTTGCCTGGATGACACTGCCAAGAGATTCTAATTTAACTTGTCGGCAGTGCATCTTGGGCATAAATATTACATTTTCCTAGGTAGTTTTAATGGAAACTAAAGCTGAAGCACAGTGTGAAAGATTTCCTGTTATAAGGGTCCTTGAGAACTTCTACTAAATATCCTTGCACCTCAGTTGTCCCATGAATCAATTGCAAAATTGGCCAGATGGTGGTTAAGTTCTACTTTGGCTCCTTTCTGTATTATATACTTAAGGATATTATAGTCAGTATAACCATGAGATAAATTCTAAAACCAGAAAAAGTACATAGCTGATACATAATAAATGTTCAGTACATTTTTTATTAAACAAATGAATGAACGTTTTGTAAAACTGCATGTTGGCCAAAAACAGAGTTTAAATCTCTAAGTCATGAGATCTAAAATTATAATCCTATTCAATAAGCATGTCAGATGTACACACACACATGCATTTAATAGTTACAGTTCAGTGCTGTATTTTTTTGTTAATGGAATGGGTTTATTTCAATGAGACTGATTACAAAATAAATTATTTAAGAGCATATCCTACTTCCAAGCAATTTTTAGTATGATATTGTCAGCTGCTCTGGCAATGACGCTTCCTTGGTAAGCTGTGAATTTGAGGCAGGAAAGTACATTTGAAGGTGACCAGCCCTGGAGTATCTTAGTCATCGTGGCTTACGCTGGACCCTCAGATGTCTTGCCTTAAGACTTAATTTCCTGTTCACTATTCCTTGCAATTTTGCAAATAATATCACTAATCACAGCCGCTATTTGCTGAGTATTTGGGAGCATATTGCACAACATCATTAGTCTTTTTCATCATCCTATGGTCTGGTAGCTATTTTCATCTTCACTTTGCACCTGAAGTTCATCTTGATGACATCACTCCCAGGCTGGGATTTTAGCTCCACCCTGCTCTCTCCAAGAATGTAAGACTCCAAGTAGTCTCAAAAGAAAATCTGAAAAACAATCTCTTAAATTCAGGATCTGAGATGTACACAGTGAGATAAACTGAAGCACTTGATTTCAGTTTTGCAAGCCACTCTACAAAATGGTCCTTAGAGTCTCTTCCTTGCCTACATTAGAAAACTCAACATAATTCTTTAGTGTGGTCTCCAGATTCCCATAAAATCTCCCAAACATTTATCATCTCGGGATTCTTGCTGTTATTATTATTCCCATCAGCATTATAGTGGCTGAGGCCATGGCCGCTCCTCCAGTTTGAATGAAAGTTTCAAACCTTAGTATGAATGTAGTTCCTTGCAGTTCACAAATCACCTTAATATCAATATTCACATTTTAGGTTCACAACAGTCCTGAGAAACAGGCAGAGAATTATAAGCAACTCAAGACTCCAGGAGATAGTAAACAGCCTAACTCCCTGACAAATGAAGGTATCAAGGCTGGGTATCAAAACTCTCAATTTTAATTCGTCCCTCATAGTCTTTTTTTACTTTTATTAGCACATATTTGCAGTACATAATGATTACATTCATCATGGGAGTTAGTACATGTATATAATACACCTTAGGTCTTTTTTTCATCCCCTCCTTCTCCTCTGCCTTCCATCTCTTGGTCCCCTTTTTCAGATCTATCTCCATGTCTGTTATTGTCTATCTCTTATTTTGTTGTTAATTTATTTATTCTTTGGATTTCTCATATGAGAGAAACCATATGATATTTAAATTTGTATGTCTGATTTATTTCCCTCAACATTATTGTCTCAAGGTATATCTATTTTTCCCACAAATGACTTAAATTTATCCTTCTTTATGATAGAGTACTACTTCACTGTGTATAAGTACCACATTGTCTTTATCCATTCCTCCATTGATGGAGATACAGGCTACTTCCAAGATTTAGCTATTATGAATTATGTTGCTATATTCTGCTGGTTTGGTAATTTGAAACTTTCTTCATTTGTCTTTATAGTTATTTATTTGAAACAATTAAGTATGTGCAATTTTAGGGCAATAAACTCTGAAGCCATCTGTCTAATTTGGGAAGCCAACTCACCTAGGTGAATGGCCACCTAGCAGAAAGGGCAGGCTGCTGCTTGGAGGAGCTTGCCCTCTTTTGTCTTTGCATATTTTGGCAGTAAAGACAACCGGATGATAACCATTGACAATAGAGAGACTGTTCAACAATTGACTTTTGTTCTTTAGAAAACATGATCTTGAGCTCATACAACTAAACAGCTGCCTACATCTACAAAAGTAAAATATTCTGTCTTATTAAATGTGTTTTTAATATAAATATTAACAGTCACAATCAAAGCAGTTCTAATTTACTGTGTCAAAAAGGGAGTAACCCACATGCATTTGAATAACAAAATTGGAAATAAGGACATTTTGCAGACATAAGAAAATTCCATGGGACAGTCCTGGATGATTACTTTACTATAGAATTAACTCTGCTATACATATAGGGAATGATACTATTAAGAACTAACACGTATTGGACATGTACTATGTGCCTAGCATTGCATTCGTTTTTGCATGCTTTAATTTATTGAATTTAATCAATTAAAATTAGAGATAGGTTTTATTATCATTTTATAAATGTGAAGACTGAGGCTCAGCAGATGCAAGGAAAGTATTGCAGGTTGCATGGTTTGGAAGGAGGAAGGTGAGATCTGAAGCATGCTGCATCTGTCTAAAGTTTATGTCCTTTGCAGTTTTCTCCACTGTCAACAGAGTCTGGCACAGTAGAAATCAGAGGAATGAATGAGGAGAAGAGATTAAATTTCTCTGGCATCAGCCATAGCCATAACTTAATACTCACCTTTAGGCCTGGCTTTTGGATGGCTCTGTTTATGACATAGTCCTCATCAGTAATGAGGGGGTGTCCAGGAGTGAGACCAAACGCGCTGCCTAATGTTGATAGGTGGATCCACATTATCTTTTTCCAAGAGTAAGTCTGGAATTCGTCCTGAGGAAATAGATGCCAAAACCCCCATGAAGTTAAGAGAAATCATTTAGGCTAAAACTCAACCCAGTAAAACATCATTTTACTGCAACTCTGTGGGTTCATGGAGTTAGTAAATACTCTAGACAGGCTTATATGTCATTGGAATATGGTTAGGCATAAGATCTTCATGGGCGGAGGCTGATCATCATTTATTGAGGAACCTGGATGTGAACAGGGGCTCTGACACAGACAGCAAAGCAGGGAGCATGAATAGTAACATCTCAAATAAGAGCTGATTTCCTATAGGGCTACAACCAGAAGCAAAACTTCACAGGCAGGAAAGAAGCAAGCTTGCCAATGGTTTCTGTATATCTCTGAGGGTAAGGAAGTCAAGTCAATTAAATTCTGTCCATCTTTTGAGGCTTATCTCAAATGCCACCTCTTCTGGAACAGCCCTTTTAATACCCTCCCAATGTGACAAAAGGAAAATAAAAGAATGATAACTATGTTCATTTAACCACTCCTCTCTTATGCTTCTAATCATTTCTGTCTGTTTTCTCAAGTGTTAGATCACCTTGAAAGTTGAGACCATGTTTTATCATTCTTTATATCGTTCCCTAGTTATGGAGCACCAAGATCCATGGGACGAGAGCAAAATGAATGGATGAGAATGATTGCATTGACTGCATGTGCTCAAAGGGAACTGTCAAGATGTTAGCACACGTAATACTGAGGAAGGTTCCTTGTTGCATGATCCTAATTGAAATCATTTCCCTTTGCAGTTCCCTGAGGGCTTCATTCCTGAATAAAGCTAGAAGGAGCGGTAGGAGAATGGTTGCCAGATACCCAATGATCCCTTGAAGGCTGATGTAATACCAGTAGTTATTATCTGAATGGATATAGACTAAATATAAAAGCCACTTGGATGTCTGTGATGTCAGCAGGTAATCAGGATGATAAAAAGTTAAACCCAGGAAGTCAATGCTTAGAGAATGCCAGCCAGAGCTGGGAATCATCTCCATTCACTAACTCTTTTTGCCTTGACGAATATGAGTTGACTCTGCAAAAATTAAACACAAGAAAAGACGACAGTTGTACTAAATACCTTCTACTGACCCTCCTCGAGACCAGCTCTTGCTGCTTCCCTTTCATGAAATACACTCTTCCCCTCCCCTAATATTATAGGCAGCTATGTTAGATAGAAATTAATACGTAGTTAGGGAGGGACTTGGCTCGCAAAGAAGTCAGCACAAAAAATAAAGACTTCAGAATTGTGGCTGGTAGTGCATCTGAAAAAAAGCAGGCCTCAAGATAGAGATGTAATGAGCAGGTCTACACCCCCTCTTAAGTCATGAGCAGTAACTTGGGATGATACTGTAATTATACCGCACCACTTGGTCTAGGAAGTCCAGATAGGGATCAGTTGCCCAGGTTTCTAACCAGAATATCTGGACCCATCCTTAAAATGGCTTTTTTCTTTCCATACACCCTGGCTACTTGGTATGTTTCTCTACTGGATCAATATTAGCTAAGTGGCTCTACTTGTAATCCCATAAGTTGATAGTAGCTAGTAGTTGTACTCCTATTGTGACTTTGCTGTATAAATTACCCCTGACAAAGGGCCTTGGTGACAATCCACTTTTGGGAACGCTCCTGTTGCTCAGCAGCTCTCTCTCAGTAAATCTTTCCTACTCTTAACCTCCACTATCCCTTGGAATTCATTCTTCAATATTCAGGGGACATGGACTCAGCACCTCTGACATCTGGCAGGTTTGGAGTTATATTTCTCCTACATCACTATGTCTTCATGTGGCTGAATCCTAACCATGCTTCAGGGTCCAGCTCAATGGCCGTATCCTGGGAACCTCCTCAATTTCTCTGGGTGATGTCTCTTACAAACCAAGCTGTCAGAGTACTGGAGATTCTTAGCACATTCTCCCTTGACTGTTTATCTTACCACTCCTCTGGGACTGTGACAGAGGCCTCTCTGTGCTCCGGTCAAGCCTAGCACAGATATAGAGAAGGAGGAAGGGAAGGAGGAAGGGAAGAAGGGAGAAATGGAGGGAGGGAAGGACAGAGGGAGGGGAGAGGAGGAGAAGGATGGGGGAGGGATGGGGGAGAGGAAAGCAAAGCAAAGAAATACAGGTGAGAAGACAGAGGAGAAACAAAAAGTCTGAAAGATAATGAATTAATTTTTTTTTTTTTTTTTTTTTTTTTTTTT